GGGGGGGGGGGGGGGGGGGTACGCACATCCTATTTGTTGGTTTCGCACACTACCATGTGTGTGTGACTTGCCCCTGCCCTGCTGTTTTTGGTCTGTCGGAACCTCTATTTTTTGTCGTTTTCGCGAAGGTGTTTGGACCTTCTTTCCTTGATTGTAGTATGCATATGCTTGTTTTCGAGATACAAAGTAGATAATACCTTGTTTTGGGTCTTGCTCATGACTTTGGATATTGTTAAGAGCCTTCGTACACAAGAGCAGGTGTTGGAGAAACAACCGAAAGCAGTCTCGATATCAAGAAAACAAGAAGACACCATCCACTAACTGCTGTGCAATGTGCACCAAATACGAGCGTCACAACACCGTTGCAACAGCGCCGACAACGTGACCCGCACCATCACTAACTACACCACAAATCCACGGCAATCCCATTCAACCCTTGGTTCCCTTTCGCGGCAAGGTTATGGGGGGCGTCAGCGAGAGCGGCCTTCGGGTCGTTCCCGGAGCCGGGGAAACCGATGCCAAGAGCAGTAGCGGATCGCCCGCTGCGGCGGCCGTCTTCTCAGGAGAGGTGAAGACCTCTAACTCCGGAGGGTTTGTGTCCATTCGCACCCGGAATGCGTCTCCGCCGCTGGATCTGTCGGCGTACGATGCCCTGAGGCTGAGGGTCAAGGGGGACGGCAACCGGTACAAGTTCAGCATGTGAGAGGGGGGGTCGACTGTGGTTGTGCGGCGGCTGGCTTGTTGTTGTGGTTTGCTGGGTTGGGAGGGCCAGTGTTGATGATTTGGTGGTTTCGTGATGTGTTGGCCGCTCGGTTTGCGTGTTGTCGTGTTTCAACGGGAGGTGATGATTTACACGAAAAGGCGCTATTTGTCTAATGTCTTGGAATGTGTGAAAGATGCGGCAAATCTTGGCCAAAAATCATCGCACAAGAGAGAGCACGCGGATCCTTTCACTTCAACACCACGTCGCAAGCATACACCTATGTACTGTTAACGTCGACCTTGACGGCAACCCGTGTCTTCCAGTTTTCCAAACCCCATTTTTGAGTTTGTTTTGTCCCTCTTCTGCTCTGCTCGTGTTGTGCGGCGACCTGACGGGCCGTCTGTTTGTCGATATATTCCATCTATTATGTGGTGTGTACCACGGCACGCAGCTACGACTCCCCCGGTTGGAACAGCAAGGCGTGGTGCGACACCTTCGACACCGTCAAGGGCGAGTGGATGGACGTCGACATCCCCTTCAGCACCCTCAAGTGAGTGTGTGAGAGGGACCGACAGACAGACAGACAGACAGACAGAGAGTGAGGCGGATTTTTCGCTTCGCTGGGACTTCGGCGAGAATTGGCTGCAACAGGCGTTTATACATCGCTCTTTTTTCCCGAAGTTTTGGAATGTTTCGACAGCAGGGAACTTTGCGAAGCGAGTTCAAAGGCAAAAAAAATGGCGTTTTTCTAACAAATGCATAGCTTCCAAGTTTTCTGAGCCTTCTAAATTTTTGGGGGTAGAAAATTTGCAAGATCAGCCATGCGTATGCCCCTAACGGTTTCGACTGGCGCCTGGAAACCGTCACACGGCGCTACAGCGGTACCAATGCTCACGTGGTCTGCACCTTTCTATTGCACCCTTTGACCTGTTTAATGCACCCCGGCGTTCAACTTTTAATGCACCCCAGTGTGACGGTTTATGCACGCCATCTTTCATCTATTAAGTGCATCCCAGCAGCCTTCACGCCTTTTTACACCCCAGCCTTCATCTGTTTTTTTCCAGCCTTTTTTTGAACACCTTAGCCCGTAGCCTCTCGAACCCCAAACTAAATAGGGTGGGGTACTGGCGCTGCGCGCCAGTAAAAAGTATACTGGCTGCTGACGCAGCCAGTAAACTGGATCCGATCAGTACACTGGTGGCGCGGCGAAGCCGCGCGGTCGC